CCCCTCTCCTCTCCTCTCCTCTCCTCGATAGCTCAGCTATCTCGAATGGCATAAAGTTAGCAGGATGGCTTCTGAGGTAGTGTTGGAAACAGAAAAAAGTTTAATAAAAGGCAAAATAACAAACTCTTACAGAAAAAAAAGAGCCGGGGCAAGAGGTTCTTGCTCCTGCTAAAACACCCTACAAAAGGGATTATTTCCTTTGTTCTCTTCCTTTTCTAGTGAATTTTCCTGGTGGGACCTCTTGGTCTCTGTCCAGTTGGGCAGCCCCAGGTCTGAGGTGAAGTCCCAAAAGTTCTTTGGGAGAGAAACTTCTGGGCTTTTTGCCTTTCCAAGCAGACAAAGAATATTTTAATCACTCCATCAACAGGGGGCACATTGCTACACTTGAGGAAGACTCAGTGGAGCAAGAGTTGGGGGAGTTGACTGGAAGGGGACTTCCACCATGGTCTAAAAGCTTTTGCAAAGGGAATAAAAACCCTTTCCAGCAGAGGGGTGTTGATGCAGCAGGAAGGGCAGAGCAGGAGCTGCTGTGTGAGCTGCAGGCACCTGAGCTGGGTGGCAGGGAGGAAGGGCAGTGCTGTGGGGTGAGTGTGGCTCACCACAGAGCCAGGAGCAGTGGCTGCAGCTGGGTGCCACTCCCAGTTCATCCCTGGAACCCTGGGGCTATGGAAATGGAAATGGAAATGGGAATGGAAATGGAAATGGAAATGGGTGCTGCTGAGCAGCTGGAGTGAAGTATTCCAAAATTCGGGATGCACAGCCCAGAAAACAGCTTTGGTTTCTTCGATGAGACAAAGTGGGGAGTGAGAAAAGGAAAAAGCAGGCAGGAGAATCTCAATTATCCACAACTTTCACCAAGTTATTCCTTAAAACTCCCAGCCAGGGCAGAGCATCTGTTGGGATGTTGGCAGCGTTAACCTCTGCAGGATTGGATTCATGGAGAATGTCCCAAATTTCTGAATCCCCAATTGTTCCAAATGTCATCCATCACAGACAGGATTTTTCCAAGGGCTTTTCAAGCTCTGTATGAAGCCTGCAGTTGTCTCCACTCCAATTAAGATCTCGTGAAACTTCTTTTCCTATTACAAATTTTTCTATAAATAACAGAAATTACTGTACCCAGTGTTTGCCTCAACAGCTTGAACTGATGGAAGAGCAGAGACTTCAGCTGAGTTGATGAATTGCTGTTTGCTGGGTTAAAAAACCCAATTATGGAATGGTTTTGTTTTGTTCAGGAGCTTGGGAATAGCAGGTCAATGGATGGAGCAGTTTAGTGTTTGCAGTGCTATTGTTCCCCAGTGAATTTACAGTTCACGTTATTGTTTTATAAGTATTGAAAATTCAAGTTAAAACAGAAGTCATGACAATTGTTGGGTTATTACAAAACTAGAAAAAAAAGATAATATTTCCTGTACTTTCTAAAATTCCTTGTGAATTAAAAAAAAATTATTTACCACAAACTTAAAAAGAAAAAAACAACCCACAAACTTGTTAAAGCTGCTCAAGTTTTTGTGTTCGTTTCTTTCCCCCCCCCCCTTTTTTTTTTTTTTTGTGTAACAGCTCTGCTGAGAGGAAATTCCTCACTTATGTAATATATTTTGAAATCCTCTCCTCTCCCCACTCTTTTTGGCAGCTTTTGGATGGCTGGAAAAACTCTGTGTATGTTTGGAGTTGTCATTGAAACGAATGTCATGTGAGAGGCTGCTCTGTGATCCCAAAACTCCCACCAGCTCCTTCCCCTATGGATCCAGCTGCCTCCCAGATGCCTCCAGTGGATATTTTGGATCCATAGGGATTCATCCCTGGCCTGTCTCATGGTGATTTTCCTCAAGCCAAGAAATCCTGATTTTTGGCTTGATTAAACTTCCATCTCCCAAGCAATAAATGCTTCAATATCCAAGGATGTCATGACTTGTTAGTTTGGGAAGAAATACTGAATATTCCCTTTTTGTAGAGCATGGACAAGATGGAGTGTGGAGCAGGAGCTGCAGGTTTCATTGGGAAGGTTTTGCCTGGATTTTTGCTGCCATTCCCAATTTCTCAGGCATGTGGAGTTGATTAATTAGCAATAGGCAGCCTTGTGTGGGGGGAGCCGTTCCTGTTGGAAGGCAGATCCTCCAAACCAGCTGTTTTCTTTAACAATAATGAGGGGAAAAAATTCCATGACTCCGTGGTTGGTTGCTTAACTCTGGATGTCTGCAGTGTGTAAGGGCTGTGTAAACTCTGAGGGGCTTTTCCAAGCATCCAGAGGAGATCATAAATGTACAAACAGCAAGAATTGGGCAGCAATTTTATCCTTGTGCACAAAAAAAATTGTTTCCTTCTTGATGTCACTCATCACAACATCCGTGAGGGACAGTTGACACCAATTACTGAATTTTGAGGAACCAAATTAAATTAATTACTAAAGCAAATCCTTCTTGCTCCTCCCCAAGGTCCTGTGGTCTGATTCTTCGGTGACGTTGGTAACCAAATCTTCTGCGGAAGTGACTGAATTCATTTCAAAGGTAAAGACAATAAGAAAAACACTTTGAAAAGGAAAAAAATGTTTTGTCCCTCTTTCTAATTTTGTTCAATGATACTTCTCAAAATGTGCCAAGGTAATTCAGATTGAATTTTATAAAATATTTGATTTATAGCAGGCAGTGGCTTGAATCTCATAGAAATAACAAGTCTTTTCACTTGTAATTTGTCATATCCTCCCCCTTTAGCTGTCTCAGCTGTATCCAGAAGAAAACTTGGAGAAATTCATTCCCTGCTTAGCTGGTCCAGATTCATTTTACCTGGAACGGAACCACATGGACCTGGAATCAGACCTGAGGTATGCTGGGATTTTGTGGGGTTTTTATCTTGACACTGGGCTTCTTTCACTGAGAAAAATTTAAAAAAACAGGAAATAGAAGTATTATCTCCATATTCTAAATTACTTTGAAGAAATTAGAGCCTGATCCTAAGCTTTTTCCTGGATGGTCCATTAATTTCAGTGCATAACAATTGTTCAGGAATTCTTTCTTCAGAAATACAGATGGTAATAATATTCTGTATTAAGCTTTCTGGAGAACTGATATTTCCTCATTCCTTGTGAAGAACAAATAGAGGATGACTGGCTTTGCAAAAGTTTGTTTTGGACTCAAAAATAACCAGAATTGCTTAAAACAAGCACTTAAAACTCAGAAAAAAATAGAAGCCTGAATATTCACCCATCTGTATTGAGGAATGGGTTGTGGAGATTTTTTTGCCCCTTTCACAGAATTTTTATTTTCTCAGTCATTTTAGGTTGCCATGATGTTTATTTTAGTCAGATTTTAAAAAGTTAGGTATGTATTTAGATATCATTAAATTGTTACATTTTTTGAAGCCTTTAACAGCCAAGAAATTTTTGAGGCCTTAGCTTGTACCTCCTCAAATTATCACAAATTATCTGGCCATTATTTAATATAAACCAGTATTTTAAATATCATAATCTCTGGCAGATCACATTGGTTTTCTCTTTCTAAATGTGGTTTTCCTAGGAAAATTGGAGTGACTTAAATTCCTTTCAGCTGCTACTCTCTTTATCTACACAAAACGAGATTATTGTAATATTAATATTATTCTGAACCTAATATGTTATTGTTATAAAATTAAACGACACTTTAAAATATAAATTTACTTTATTAGAGTTCTATAACTAAAATAAAGATTATTTCTAATAATCTTTATTAATAAAGATATAATAATCTTTATTAATAAAGGTTATTTTAATAATCTATATTATATTATAATAGATATATATTCTAATAATATAATATATAGTATATAATATATTATGCTATATATATATTATAATGATAAATATAATATATAGTATATATTATATATAATAATATATAATATATACTATTTATATTATATAGTAATGTATATTTTAGATTATTTTAAGTATATTATTATACTATATGATTATATATTATTAGAATATATAACTATTATTTAAAATAATAATATATTTATAATTAATTATAAAATTAATTAATTATATTAGAGTGCTATGACTCTATTCTCCTTCCCACTTTTTCCCCCTAAGCCATGTTGACCTTGGTTTTCCATAGGCAGCAGCCAGCAGGTGCATGCCTGGATTGTTTTCCGTGGCAGGCAGCATTCCCAGTGCCTCGCTGTGCTCCAAGGAGGATTTGGGAGCTGCAGGGAATGCGTGTGCCTGCTGCTTGGGAACAACAGCCTCTCCAAATCTGGGTTAATGGAGCAGCAACTGCACTGCCAGAGCTCAGCTGCAGCTCTGGAGCAGGGAGGAAGCTGCTCCGAGGTGCTGCTCAGCTGGGAAATTCAGCACTGAACTCCGGGGTTTCCAGCTGGGAAACACCTCTGGGTGTGTGGAGGTGCAAAGTTTTGGGAGATTGGGATTTTTTTTTGTGGAATCTCAGAGTGGCTTGGGTTGAAGGGACCTCAAAACCGTGGCAGGGACACCTTCCACTGTCCTAGGGTGCTCCAAGCCCTGTCCAGCCTGGCCTTGGCACTGCCAGGGATCCAGGGGCAGCCACAGCTGCTCTGGGAATCTCTGCCAGGGCCTGCCCACCCTCCCAGGGAGGGATTTCTCCCAAATATTCAATCTAAATCCATCCTCTTCCAGCTCAAAGCTGTCCCTCCTTGTCCTGTCCCTGCGTCCCTTGTCCCAGTCCCTCTGCAGCCTCCCACAGCTCCCTGGGGGCACTGGGTGCTGCTAAAAGGGCTCTTCTCCCTTCAAAGAGACACAGGGAAAACGTGACAGAAGTTTCTCCCCAAACTGCCAGACTCTGCATCTGCTGTTTATCTTCAAAAGGGGGAAATTCAGTAATAGATCCATCTCTAGTTTATATTCCTCAGGTTCCTGCATTTGAAAAGCAAATTTCAAGTTTACATTTGAACATTTTCAGCCTTAGAAGTGTTCAGGGTTCCCGAATGAGGCATTTTTGCTGAAACACTCACCAGAGTGAAAACAACCCAGGGATAACAGGGTTTGGTATTAAGAATAAGAATATCCATAAATTCTTAGAATACAGAATTGTATGGTGTGTTTCAGCTTTTAAATTTCCAATCTGATTTCCAAGTGTGCTGTCCAGAGTGCAATCCTGATGGATTTGGGAGGCTCTAACAGAGCAGAGGCTTTGTTTGCTGCAGGTACCTGGCCCCGTTCCCTTCCCATGTGGTGAAAAACGACCACGTCAGGAAGTTCTTCAGCACTTCATCTCCCTCACAGCAACTTCAGAGCTCAAGTGAGTTGAAATAAAGTTTAAAGTATATTTTTTTGTACTGCATTTCATAAATTGATGCCATTTGTGACTCTGTTCCTTGTTTTCAGATCCTGGCAACCCCTCCCTGTATAAAGTAGGAACTACGCTGGGAACATCTGGAAGGTGAAATGTTTATCTTGTTGACATTCTCTTAAGAGGCAATTTTCATGTCCTCCAACAAAACCCAGACCCCCTTCAAGGAGCCAGTATTGTGGCTTCTTTTGCCACTTCCATATGGAAAGATTAAAAATTTCCATGGGATTATATCTGGGCATCTTTACTTCTTTTTAATAATGCAAAGGCCGTTCTGTCGAAAACTTTTTTAAATCACAGAGAGGCAGCAGAATTTTTCATATCTGTGAATATTGAAGGAAATTACTGAAGGAAAACTCTGTTTAAGGTGAAGATCAGCTTCACCCTTTGCCAGAACTGCCCTGTTTCACTGAGCTGTGGAGCAGGACAGGTACAAATCCATACCATGGCTCCGACGGGGTGATTTCCTCCAGATTTCTGCAGAGCTGAGCTCTGGGTGACACAGCTTTTCCAACTAAACCCAACCTTATTCCTATTTTCCAGACCTATATGTGGGGTGGCTGGAATTCAGTCTTCCCAGAACCACGTGCAGCACTCGGCTGCTGCTCCCGTGTCTCTGCCCCACTGCTCACACTCCGGAGGCGCCGGCTCCTCGCTGGGCTACCGCTCCCAGCTGGAAAACTCCTCCCCAGCCATGCTGATGTCTTCCAGCCCTCAGACCCCTCAGACACAGGAGCAAAACGGGATCCTGGACTGGCTCAGGAAGCTGCGCTTGCACAAGTATTACCCCGTCTTCAAACAGCTCACCATGGAAAAGGTAAGGCAGGAAATGGAGGGAAGCAGCCAGATTTTAAATTATCCCCACGTTCTCCAGGCTGGGAACATCTGCACTGAGGATCACACAAGTTTCTGGCACGTGCTGGGGAGGTTTTCACTTTCTGAAAGCAGTAATGAATTGATGAAAACCTTCTTGCTGTTCTCACTCTGTGTTGTGTCCGAGGCTGGCCAACAGCTGCTGCTTCTCCCAGGCTTCCTCATGGAATGCTTGGAGATCCAGCTTGGATGCTGCCTTAGGAGCTCTTCTTGGCTCCCTGGACATCCCTTTGTATGCAGGAGATACCTAAATACATTGATTTCTCTTGAGTTCGGCTTCTTGGTTGATTTTTCTTCCAAAATATTTGTTTATCCTCATTTTAAGAAATAGATTTCCAGAGACTCATGGAATGAATATGAACACGAGTGAGTGAGGTTTGTTTCTTGCAGAAATTCCTGTGGCAAAATCATCTCTTATGACTTTGCAATGTAAGAGTCCCAGATAACACCTGTTTGTGCTGGATTTGATCTAAACAAGGTTTTGGAGCCTTTTCCCAGCTCCACTGGGAGATTCCTTGTCCTCTGTCTTTTGGCCTGGAACGCCCTCCAGTGGAAGGAGGGCTTGGGCTGAGCTTTGTGCTGCTTATGGAATATTTTATGGATTTAATTTCAATCTCTTACCAAAGGCTTCTGATTTAATTTTCTTCATTATAAGACAGAAAATATACTGGGTTTTTTTTTCTTTAATAAAGTAGTAAAACTCTATATTCCAGTGTATTTTTAAAAAGCAAATATTATTATGCATACTTCACTGGCTTTCACTTTAATTACATTATAATATAAATGTCTGTATCTATCTCTATGTTTTATTATTAAATTTACTATTGGAGTATATTTTCACTGCACTTCTGTGGTACATGAAACACTGGGAAAACTGGAGTGACTTTTTAAGATCCTTAAATTCACTGATAGCACCAAGTTCTATTTTAATTTAATTCTATTGTAATAGGTACACGAGTTATTTCATCTTTATTGTGACTGGTTAATACAAGCACACACCTAATTAAATTAAATCTGCAGGTGTTCTTTCCTTCATGCCTGTCCCCCACATTTTCATTTTACACTATAATTGAAAACTGGAGTACAGAGTTTCTTTGAATTTAAAACTGGTTTTAAAGTTGGCTTTTGGAATTGCTCTTCACTGAAAATGGGAATAAGAATATTCCAGGTTATAAAACTATGCACATTTTTTCTTTCCAAGTTTCTGAGTCTTACTGAAGAAGATCTGAATAAGTTTGAGTCCCTCACCATGGGAGCAAAGAAGAAGCTCAAGACCCAGCTGGAGCTGGAGAAGTAAGTGAGGCCTGGGGGAACTGTTTGTAAGGTTGAAAAATGCAAATTTTGCTTCCCAGGCCACAAAACTACCATGATTCCCACCTGAAGATATGAATGATAATTATCTCCATTACTAAACAATATTTAGCACTTTCTGATTTACTGCTGCCTGTTCAGGGCTGTGATAAGGATACCAAATTTTTAAATCTACAAAATATACATATTGTACATTAGGTTTTTTTAAAAACTTCTGTCACATTTATTGCAAAGATTTTGGGCTTCCCATCCTCTTGACATTGATGGCAGCTGTTGGGTTTGCAAGCCCAGGGGATGCACTCCCAAAGTCAGGCCTTTTCTTCCTAGGAAGTGACAATAATTTTCTGGCTCCAATCCACGTGGATGGAGCTGCCTCAGTGTCCCACAGTGACCCCAGAGAGCTGTGGCAGCCCTTTGGGGACACTGATGCAACAGATTGTCCTGGTTTTTGCATCTCCACTTACAGGAAAGTGTTTATTCTGCAGCTACTGCTGTTCCTTAAAAAGCAATTAGAAATCCAAATCTGTGCCCATTTATCAGAGCTTCTTTGGCAGCATTTATCAGCAATCTTAGTTTTTCCAGAGTTTGTTTGGAAAAGGAAAACTTGGGGCTGTGTTTGTTTTCTCTTTGGGTTTGGAACGTGCTGACATAATATGTGATAGAATTGTAAGTTTAGTCAGGGTTTGGTGGTGTTTTACCCTGGACAAATAAGAGCATAGTGTTCTAATCAGATGGCAAATTGTCCAGCCCTAACTGCTGGCAGTTCTGGTCAGCACTGATGTGATTTCCAAGTATTTCCATTTGAAATGGGCACAGCAGCAGTGGGTTGTTCAATGGGCTTTGTCTGCTTTGGGTTCATTCAGAAATGGATTTATTTGCGGTTGTGTTTTAGCCAGCTTCTGTCTCTTCATGCTTCTCTCCATCACCCTGTAGGGAGAAATCAGAGAAACGGTGCCTAAACCCCTCCACACCTTCCTCAGTGACCAGCAGTGGGGTGGCCAGGGTTCCCCCCACTTCCCACGTGGGGCCTATCCAGAGTATCCGGGGCAACCACGCTGCAGGTAAGGGGAGCAGGGGACACTGCTGTGCTCAGCCGTGCCTGCACGAGGGTCAGCTCCTGCCTGTGCTGCTTCTTTCCCGAGCTTTATCTTCCAAAGGCCATTGGCTTAACAGGGAGCAAGCAAAAAATCTGATTTTGGTGATTCTTGGGGCAATAAAAGGTGATTTTTTTCCATGGCTGTGGTGGGAACGGGCAGCTGCTCTGTTCCACCTTGGATGTATCCCTGTAAACACTGAGCGTGGCCGTGTTCTGCTGATGCTGTCAGCATCACCTCCGCGTGCCCTGTCCCTGCAGAGCTGCGAGTGGACGTGGATCAGCCAGCCCACCCCCTGCCCCGGGAGGGCAGCTCCTCCGAGTACTCCAGCTCCAGCTCCAGCCCCATGGGGATCCAGACGCGCGAGGAGAGCTCGGACAGCGCCGAGGAGAACGAGAGACGTAAGCAGAGCCCCCCGGCCGTGCCCCGTGCCGTGCCCAGGGCTGTCCTCACAGCTCCTCTCTCCCCAGGCCTGGAGCTCCACCTGGACGCCTCGGACAAGGAGAAGCCGGTGATGCTGCTGAACCATTTCCCCTCGAGCTCTGCCAGGCCCACGGCGCAGGTGCTGCCCGTGCAGAACGAGGCCGGCGCGGGCCCCGCCGGGCACCACGCGCTGCCCATGCAGATGCTGTCCCCCAGCCCGTCGCACATGGCTCCCATCCGCATGCTCGGCTCCGTGCACAAACCGGAGCGCGGCTCCACCGACATGAAGCTGCTCTCGTCCTCTGTGCACTCCCTCTTGTCCTTGGAAGAAAGGAATAAAGCCTCTCCCGGCTCGAGGGGCAGCATAAAGATGGAAAAGGGCTTCGGGAACGCCGTGGTGGACGTCATGTCCACGTCCTCTCCGCACCAGCCCTTGCAGGTGCTGTCGGGGGGAGCCGAGAGCGGCTCCCCCACGTCCACCATGAACTTTGGGCCTCGGACCAAAGTCGTCCACGCTTCCACTCTGGACAGAGTGATCAAACCAGCCCAGCAGCCAGGACTCATCGTGGAGACAAGCACTGCTGCCACGGTGACGTCCAGCACAGTCTTCCACGTGGCTCGTCCGCCCATCAAACTCCTGGTGTCGTCGTCTCTTCCCACCGACTCCGCCATGGCCGGACAGACTTCCTGCTCCAGCAATATGCAAATAACGGTGTCCCCTGCAATAATCAACCCCCGGACTGCTCTGTACACAGCCAACACCAAAGTTGCCTTTTCTGCCATGAGCAGCGTGCCCGTGGCGCCCATGCAGGGCAGCTTCTGCGCCAACAGCAACGCGGCCTCCTCCAGCAGCCACCCGTCCCCGTCCTTCACCACCATGGCCAACCTGCCCAGCTGCCCCGCGCCCAGCTCCAGCCCCACGCTCTCCTCCGGCGCCGACAACAACTTCTACAGCAGCAGCAGCAGCAGCAGTAGCAGCAACAACGGCGGCGGCTCGGCCGGGAGCGTCCCCGTGCCCAACCAGAACCACCACCACCACCACCACCAGCAGCCGCCGCCGCAGCCCCCCGGCTGCATGGTGTGCAGCTCCTGCGGCTGCAGCGGCAACTGCGGCTCCAGCGGCATGACCGTCAGCTACGCCAACTATTTCCAGCACCCCTTTTCAGGACCTTCCATGTTTACTTTCCCTTTCCTGCCCTTCAACCCCCTGTGTAGCAACGGCTACATCAACACGCAGCAGTACAACAGCAGCACCACGTTCCCCGTGGTGCACACGGCCTACAACAGCGGCCTGGCCCCCGACTCCGTCATGGCCGGGCAGTCCACCTTCGCCGTGCCCCCCATGCAGAACTTTATGGCGGGCACGGCCGGGGTGTACCAGGCACAGGGGATGATGGGCAACGGCAACGGGTCAAGCCACAAAAAGAACGGGAACCTCTCCTGTTACAACTGCGGGGCCAGCGGGCACAGAGCTCAGGACTGCAAACAGCCACCCATGGATTTCAATCGGCAAGGTAAGGGCTGGGGGAACACACTGTTCCGTGTGTAGAGTTCAGGCTGATGTTTCCAGCTGTTTCGTTCCTTCCTTTGGGATCCTTTCCTTTGTGTCAAGTTACAGGTGATGTTTCTTCAAGTGGCTCGTGGCTGCATTTGGGTGATGCTTTGGAGCGGTTGGGTCTGGGTTTGGAGTAAGGTCTAATCCACACAGAACCTGGCCTTGATGCCATCTGGGCTCTGATCGCATCTTGGAATCTCTGGCTTGTAAAAATATTTTGTTATTGCAAGTTGATGGTCTGAGCCATTGGCAAATTTTAGGCAGTCCCATGAGGAGGATTCAAACAAGGCCCTCAGGTGTGCTCTGTGGGGTTGGCACTGATTTTAGGCAGGGAAGAAACATCGGGGAAGGGAAGGAGCAGCTGTGGACAGGTTGCTGTTGCTGCTTCTGCATTGTCAGCCAGGTCAGCTTCAGTCATTACTGCAAGTTCCCCTGGAATTTCAGAAACTGAAATCTCTGTTCCTCTTCCTTTCCTGCCCAACACAATGACCTAAATGAAGAATTGCTGTTCAAACCCTCCTGAAGGTCCTGTTTGCTGCTGTAGTTATTTTATAGGACATGTTGCTTACACATGTAGAGCACAGGCTTCTCCAGGAGAATTCTTAATTCCAGGCAGGAAACAGTAAAAAAGAAATATTGCTTTACCAAGAGCACTTTTTAGTCCCAGTTTTCTTTTTTTATTTTGATTGTCTTATCTTGAGATAATCTGAGAGTGGTGTGGGTTAAAAAATTAAATACAAACTCTGAGTGAAGAGCACTGAGATTCCATTTCACATCATGCCTTGTCTGTAGCCTTTACCTGGATTCATTTTTTGTGTGGTCTCAACAGTTTGAACACATAAATTAACAAGTGTGAGGTGTTGGCCAGCAATTTACAGCAGGAAAAAGGTAAATACTGAGTGGAATTCTGTTGGTGAATGTTTTGGTAGTGGCCAGGGGGAAGCAGAGCTGCTGCCTTGTCAGTCCTGAGTTGGGAGAACTTTGGGAACGCAGCAGACTCTGATGTCTTTTTAAATTGGATTTAAGTTCATTAATTAAATTCCCATTTAAAGTCTGCCAAATTTTTCACAAGGGCCTGGACTGAGAGGACAAGAGGAAATGGCTGTAAGCTGAAGGAGGCCAGGGTGAGATGGGATATTGGGAGGAAACTCTTCCCTGTGAGGATGGGCAGGCCCTGGCACAGCGTGCCCAGAGAAGCTGTGGCTGCCCTGGAAGTGGCATCCCTGGAAGTGTCCAAGGCCAGGTTGGACACTGGGGCTTGGAGCACCCTGGGATAGTGGAAAGTGTCAGGGCTGGAATTGGATGAGCTTTAAGATCCTTTTCCCACCCAAACCATCGTGAGATTCTGCGATTCCATGCAACAAAGTTGTGCCAGCCCTAAAACAGCACCCAAGCTCCGGTGGTGCGTTCCATGGGGGGAAGCAGCAGCAGGTTGGTTTGGGGAGCTGTGGGAGGTGACTGACGTGTGACCCTGTGTCCCTGTCCCTGTGCCAGGTACGTTCAGGCTGAAGTACGCCCCTCCCTCCGAAAGCCTGGACTCCACAGACTGAGGTTTGCCCAGCTGGCACCACGATGCTGTAAAGCCATGGAGAGCGACGGAGATCGAACTGCAAAACTGAGACGTCCAGTTGCTGTTAAGCTTAATGTATTTTTTAATCCAAAGGTGCTTTACTTTATTAGACTAGGTAGAAAATCTAGCTTAGGGGTGCAGCCAACCCAGTTTTGATTGCCAAATTCAAGCTCTGATGTTGGAACTCCTGACCCCGTGTCCTCGGAGCGATGGATGGACGGATGGATGGTGGAGCTGGCCAGCTGCAGTTCCTGCTGGAAGTACAACATCCCCTGTACTTTTTTGGCTGGAGAATGTTGCCACAATTGGACTTTTCCAAGGTGAAAGGCCTGACTCCAGGGCAGCTCTGTTCTGAGGTGGAAGGTAGGAGTGGCCGGAAGGACTTTGGCACCCCTGGGCTAGGTAAAATGTCTACTTTTTTTCAAAAGTGATCAGGCACTAATCTCTGGGATTTTTAAGGATTGCACTACAGAAGAATGTAAAACTCTTCAAGCTTTCTGCACTTTTAGCAGACAGTGTCACTCTGAGACCAGTGCAAGAGGCAAAGAAGTTCCAACCTTTCCAAATTGGCACCAGCAGGCTTACGGGACTTAATTCCACAATAAAAATCCTAAAAAGTCTCTCTTTTCCCTTCCAAAAGAACACACACGGCAGTTTCGGTTCCTTCTGGAAACAAACTCGTGCTTCATTGTCTCACCTATTACTAGCTAGTGCTGGCTTCCCAGCACTGGAATAAACTTAGTTTCCAAGGGTCCAAGTCCCAGAGACTCCAGAGTCATAAAGGCTTCAAGAATATTTTCTTGTAATACACAAAACCTTTACGTCCTGTTACTGTATATAGGTCTCTTTCACAGAAACCTTATTATTCTGCTTTTGTAAATGAATTTTAAACCATCCTAAAAAAAAAAAAAATCAAACTAAGAACTCTGGTAGCAGAGTTGATAAGCTTTTGCTTTACTTTATATAAAATACCCTTTGGCTCCTACTCCAGGATTCAGGAATGGTGGGAGTCAAACATGTAAAAGGTAGTAAAAACTTCATTATTATCAAGACTTGGAAGGATTTCTTGTCGGCCTCCTTTGTTGCAGTAGGTTGTAGATGAGTAGCTTTGGTGTTAACTACTTAGTCCATCATTTGTGGGTGACAAATCTAAATTAGGACTGGAGAGGAAGCCAAGCCCATCTCGAACTGCTAATTTGAAACACTTTGGTCCTGTCTGGTTGAAAGAAGATCCTAATCCTCATGGCTCTCCCCCACCAAGGAATTTGACAGCATTAAATGGGCGAGGCCTCCTCTGTAAAAGTGTCTGACATAGAGAAATTTGCATCCTGTAATTCAGGAGACACCTTTAAAGTCTGAAGCCTTGTTTACACTTGGAGGTATTCCTTACACCAGGATGAATGCATAGGATTTGTAGTGCAGCAGTGTTTTGGGAAGTCCTCTGGGAGCAGGAGGGTTTGGAGCTGCCCCCAGGAGATGGGGCAGCGTGAGGGGGGAGCCCAGCCCTTCCTGGGCTGTGCTGATAGCAGAGGAACATTTTGGGCCATCCCTGTGTCCCTGTCTCTCCAAGGGCAAGTCTCATCCTCGTGGGATCACGAGCATCAGGAGAGCCTTGGGAGGAATGTGAGTACCAAACCCGGCCCAGGGAGGGATCCAAAACCTGAATTTGCAGAACAAACAAACAAACAAACAAAAGATACTTTTTATTGCTATGCAATAAGAACCCCCTGATTTGTGTATCCCCAGCCCAGCTCCCGCTCCCTGTTGGCTCTGCCCGAGTTTGAGGACATTCCCTGTGTTCCCATGAACAACCTTCAGACCTACAACACTAAAGGGATGAAAACTGACAATGCAATTTACTTTGCCTTAATGAGCTCAAGACAATGGTAGGAACAGTCTGTCCCACTGCATCATGCCCAAGGAAAACGTGCAGTTCCATGTTTACTATTTGCAGCTTTGAGGGTCTCTCCAGTGGCCTGGAACATGTGCTGAAAGCCAAACTTAGTGTTATTATTATTATTATTGTTGTTATTATTTTTTTCACTTTTTTTAAACAGTATTTTAAAATTGTATTTAAAGAAACTGTATTTCAACACACATGTGAGTGTTCAAAACCCTCTCAAAACAGCAAAAAAAAAAAAACAGCAGCAG